TACCACGCCCGGCTAATTTTTGATTTATTGTAGAGATGAGGGCTCACCAAGTTGCCCAGGCGGGTATTGAACCCGCGGCTCATGCAATCCACTCACCTCAGCCTCCCAAAGGCGCGGGATTACAGGCTGAGCCACCGAGCCCGGCTCCTTCATGTCATTTTTAATAAAGCAAGAAAAATGTCTTCAAAATCAATAAGTTTCTCTGAACTTTTAACTGTTTTGCTCCTTAGGCAGCCTAAGGAAATAGAAGTCCATATGGAAGGGAAATATGAAAGAAGAGGGACAAGAGGCTAAAAAAACCTGAGAGGTAAAACAAGGACAAGACTAGATTTAAAAAAAAAAAAAAAAAAGATAAAGCGTTTCAGTGGAAAGGAAGTAGTCAAGTAGGCTGTGGCCAAGAAGAGGTTGGTAGCTTTGTTTAGAAGGTGAATTTCAAAAAAGTTTATATAGACGACTATGTGTAATAGAGTTAAGAAAAACATAGAAGGCAAAAAAAAAAAATTAGATGAATAGCATTTTACTAAAGGGAAGAATGAAACAGAATAAGAAATCTGGAAACAAAGCTTAAGGTTTATGAAAAGTCAGTTTGTTTTTTTAATAAGGAACTTAGATAGGAACTTAAGGAACTTAGGTAGGCTTACAAATAGGCAGTTAAAGGAATAGATAGGCTAAGAAAAATGGAAAATGAAGGCATTTAGCTTATCTCTGGGATAGAAAAGATTCCAGAAGAGGCTGGAGTAATGGGATCAAGAGATCAGAAGTGAAGTCTGAGAAATGGGGAAATACAGAAAAATTGTGAGGTAGGAGGAATAAAATCAAGAAAATTCAGATTAAAAAGGCTTTTTTTAGTTAACTTGAGGCTAAGTTACATATTAAGAATGAAAAATCAATTTAGGATGAATTAAATAGAAATTAAATTTAATGGAAATAGCATCATCAAATTCAAATCATGAATACAGTATTTATTAACTGTTAAAAACTGGTTATTTAGAAATTGTGGAAAAATATGGCAGGCTTATCACATTTACCCACCACTCCCTCTCAGTGCTGTTTAAATGATAGCAAAATATACAGGTACAAAGGGAACTGGAGAAAGGTCAATAGTAACAAAACTTTGGAAGCTATGAAGTTGAAGATGCCTGTAACTGATTGACCATTCTGACAGATCCTAAGCTGGAAATATGGAAAGTGGAGAAGCCCCTGGTTTACACTGACGTCTAAAAAGACTTAGGAAATCGCAACTGTGGAATGGGGATAAGAATGTGGTTAGAACGAGAAGACTTGCTGAAAGAAGGCTTAAGTAGTTGATAATGTACAACACTGCAACATATTGTCTCTCTACCCATTTCATATAACAGTTAACTATTTTAACTACCCTGGTAAAAAGCTAGCTATTCTCTGGAGAGGGCAACATAGAAGGTATTTGTATGGAGGAATATTGTAGTTATATTCTATACTCATGGGGATTAAATTAAAGTTACATAATAAATGCTGATATCTGCCTCCCTCACATGTCCCAAAACAGGCAAAAAGTTTTATGTCCTTTAAGCAGAATCATATAAAATGATTCTTTTTGAGAGAATTTGATCAGCCAAAGAGATACTATTATCAGAGGTTTCCCAAGAAGATATTCCATTCAGAGTACCCGTTATTGAAGGCCATAAGCCTATATGCCATATCCATGCACTAAGTTTCCAGTCAGCATTTAGCATCTTTCTTATAAATATAAGCAAACAATCAAGGATCACCAGACATTTGTAGAAAGCAACATGTATGAACAAATCAAATATGCAGAAAGAAGAAAACTAGAAAGAGATTACATTTATAAAACAATATGAGTATGCTACAAAAAAAGGAACATACAGGGGAGAAAAAAGTACTCTTAGCAATAAAAAAAAAAAAAGCAGAAATTTAAAATTTACTGGTCATTAAATTAAGGAAATCTCCCAGAAAGTAGATAAAAAATAATGGAGAAAATATAAGATAATTAGGAAAACAGGCCATGAGGGCAATATACAAATAATAAAAATCCCAGAAAATAATAATACAAAGGAAATAAAGAAAGTTCTATAGAACTTAAGGGTATGTGCTTTCAAAAATGGAAAACAGAAAAGACCCACCAAATATCCTTCACAATGAATGAAAATGGACCCAGAGCAAGACCTATTATCATGAAATTTTAGAAAAATGGGGACAAATGATTTCATAAGCTTCAAGAAAAGGAAGAAAATATTTCATAGAATCAAAATAGAACAAACACTTTAAATCATATTGGATTTCTCAACACCAATCTAAGAAATTCTGAGAGAAAATGATTTCTAAAATTTTATATCTAGCCAATTAAAAGTCAGACATAAAGGTAGAATAAAGATATTTTAAAAGATGCAAGGAACTCACATAATTTACTTTCAATGTGCTCTTTCTTGGGAGGTCACTGGAGTAAATCAAGGGAGTAAACAAAGAAATAAAATAATATCAAGAAAAGAGGTGTACTTAGCACAAGGGAGAAATAAAGACAATCTCTAGGATGAGAATTCTGCAACAGATCTAAAGAGCAATAGTTCAGACTAAAGCTAATCAGAAGGCTCCAGGGGAAATTTATTTAAGAAAATAAAATTAATACAATGCCCGATGTTTAAAACTATTGGGAGGAGGCTGAACAATTAGGAGAAACTTTAAGGATCAATTAGTGGTAAGTACATAGAAAACTAAGCAAAAGAAAAAACAAAACAAAACAAAAACCTTGACAATTATTAATGCCAAAGAAAATAAGTTGTGGAAAAAAGAAAACATATCTGTAGCATATCACATGGTTCACCTGTAAATATTGTACATATGGTTCTAATATACATGGCGAAAACTGATTGAGCCAAAATTAGTATAAGTTGCTATAAAATCAGTGAAATTATATTATTAATCATTTTGATAGAGGGATGGGAATAGCAGAAAGATATGTGTGTGAGAGAAGGTCAGACAGGGACAGTCCTAAAGTTTTATCTTCTGTATTAAGAAGTCAATTGATGGCCAGGAGCTCATATCTGTAATCTCAGCTCTCTGGGAGACCGAGGTGGAAGGACTGCTTGAACCTAAGGGTTCAAGATGACCAGTATAGGCAACATAGTGAGACCCTGTCTAACAGAAAAAAAAACATTACCTGGGCATAGTGGCACACACCTGTAGTTCCAGGTACTCAGGAGGCTGAGGTGCAAGATTGCCTAAGCCCAGGAGGTAGAGGCTGCAGTGAGCTGTGATCTTGCCACTAAACTCCAGCCTGGACAACAGAGTGAGATTTCAACTCCAAAAAACAAACAAACAAACAAACAAATAAATAAATAAAATAAAGTGGATGACAGCTAAAATTACAAAGTGAGTAGTTATATACTAAGAAGCAATATAAGCATGCTGTTGAGGGATCTGAAGTAAACACGAAAAACATCAGCTAAAAGATATAAAGTGGTTGCCTCTGGGGAATAAGGTTATACGATTATTACTTTTTGGAATTGCTGTTTCTGGTTATTAAACTATGATACTATGTAGCTTTGGTAATAATTTTAAAAATTAAAATGAAGACATTTCAAAGTTGAAAAATATCTACTTAAAATTCATGTGTATCACTGTAAGGGCACAAGACTGATTCTACAAGCTACATTTTGCATGTCTAAATTTTCTAAAAAACAGAAATTCATCATACAATGAGACTGGAGGCTGTTAAGAACTTTAGCCTTGGATTTCAGTGCCTCAGAAGGTGGAAATGAAGCCCTCTCAAAACAAGGAGCTATAAATTCTGGATATGTTGTCATGGCAACTGAACCGCTTTAATAAAGTGCCTGTTTGCCTAAAAGAGCTATATTTACCATGATAAGACTTTCAAAATGTACATGTCAAGTTGGGGTATTTTTAAGGGTATTCATTACAATCCAGTCCAGACTTACAAACTATACAATCACTGTCCCCTGAGTCTCAGGTGCATTCCACCTCCTCTTCCCAAGTGAGCTATTTCTTCCAGAGTCCCCTTCACTGATACCAGCCCCCTTTCCATCACAACCAGAGCTGCTGATGCCAAAGTAACAAGCCCCCGTTCCCCACTCCTTCCCACTAGTGCTTCAAAAAGGCTTATGGTTACTAACTGGCTAAATAGACTCTTAGGACTAACCTAGCAACTTAGCCATCATTTGTGATTGCTTCCTGGGAGAAAATATGTTTGGAGCATCAAAACATCTATGTAACAAATAAACTTTTAGGATTCTCTTAGGTTCTTAAATTGGAGACTATATAGGTTTACTTTCTAACTCTCTTGCATGCATTTTAAGGATCTTGATTGTATTCTAATAAAAACTGTCACTGCACTGATTTTAAATTATCTAAAAGGGAATTTATTTCCTTTTTTTTTTGAGTTGAAGTCTCACTCTGTTGTCCCGGCTGGAGTGTAGTAGTATGCTCTGGGCTACTGAAGCCTCGAC